TCCTCATCCTATGTCATAAAATCCTTTCCTGTCTGGTGATTTTCCTGACTTTAATCTGGGTTATTTAATATCTTTCCATATTCCTTTACAATTGTCACAGTTGCATTTTTAATAGCATTAGGGCCTCAGCCCTAAGATCATGTGTCTGGAAACCTCCCCAAACTCTCAGTAGGCCCCTGTCCTGTGAGAAAATCTTCCCTTGTTGCAAAAAAACATTCCCTTATCAAAACAGATACAGGGATACTGGCCCAAAGATTTTTTTGTCCCAGGCTGGCCCAAGGACTCTCCCACACATCAGATCCCCAAGGTCCATGCCAGAGGGTAACTAAACAAAAACTGTTTTTTCTCCCTCAATGTCTGGTGTCAGCTGAGAAAGGAATTTATAATTTTCATATCAATCGATATGACATGTGTAATGAATACACTAATAATTTAGTTTTCTCAAGAGCTGCCTCTCTGACTTGGGAGTGAGAGCTCACAATGCAGCTTAAACTGATTAATCAAAACTCTGACAAAGCTCATGATCACTAGACATTAAGTGAATTGAATCAAAGATTGTAGAACCTGTTCCAGTCACAGAACTCTGGTTCTATACCCTAGGGGAGGTGGTCACAACCCCCAAAGGCTTAACTCCAGAACTGTTGTTTTGTGGGACTCTGAGCACTCTCAGGTTAAATCTTGTTAACACAACAAAATTATCTATGCAGATTCCCTGTATTTTCCCATCCACAGATTATAGGCCCTGGCTCCCAAAGACACCTGGACCCCCAATATGTCCCTTGAGGTCCCTACACTACCTAATTAGCATCCTTTGTATTTTCCATATAAGCTCCAGCATCCTCCTCACTAGCTTGCAGGTTTCCTAAGAACTCTTGCCCGCTTGTATTGGCATCGCAATAAACTTTTTCCACTTGACTAAGAGAAAGTCTGAGTGTGTGAATTCATTCTAGGCGATAGTGCCTTGGCATTCTTGGGGTCCCAGCACCCCAAACCTCTTCATTAGTGTAACACCTCTACTTTTAGGTAGGCTATGGCAAAGCATCATGGGAAATGTAGTTCTTCTACCTTTGCCTTTTTCCTGAAAGATAAAAGTGATCTCTATTGAGGGGCAGCTAGTGTGGTGCAATGGATAGAACACTGGCCCTGAAGTCAGGAGTAACTAAGTTCAAATCTGGCCTCAGACCAAACACTTGACACGCTTAACTAGCTGTGTAACCCTGGGCAAATTACTTAACCCAATTGCCTTAAAAAACAAAAAAAAGAAAAAAGTGATCCCTACTGCTTGCTGCTCTACCTATTGCTTTATACTTTGGTATACTGCAGTTCCACTATTCCCAAAACAATCCAACATAGAGCAATAAATTTTGAACTGGAAGGTACCTTAGAGGACATCTAGTTCACAGGAGACCTGAGTTCGGGTCCAAGTTTTCATCCTTTAATAAGCTAATGCTGTATGTCTCTAGTGAAGTCACAACTTTTTTATACTTTAGTTTCTCTCTCTAGTCAGTCTACCAGTTACCGTGCTAAGGGCTAAGACATTTCATCATGACAGAATGTTAGAACTGGAAGGGAATTTGGATAATTTAGTCTAACTCCCTCATTTTGGAGAGGAGAAAATTAAAAAAAAAAAAAGGCTTTTGACTCCAAATCTAGGTTTTTTTTCCCTCAAGCTGCAGAAACTGCACCTAAGAAGCATGTGCCTAGAGTCTTCTGGGAGACGTAGTTCCCGGGAAGAGTGGACTCAGGCCACACCCCTCTGGGTGCGCGCGCAGTTAGGTTGCCCTCAGTCTCACACTAGCGGGGTGTGGTGAACTCGCGGAGAAGCTCAGGGGAGACTCGACCCACAGGTGGCGAGGGCCCCGAGGCTCCAAGAGCTGGAGCGCTTCGGGCATCGCTGCAGGCAGGTTCTTTGGCTGGGGGAGGGGTGCAGCGTCCGTGTCTCTGGACCCCGATGAGGCAAAAGCTCCAGGCAAATTCCGCTTCGTGATTTTTTGCCCCAAGTTGCTTTCCGTACTACGGGTCTTCCAGGTGTTTTCCCAGCGCTGTTCTCCGGCTCTGCCCGAGACCTCGGGTCCCCGGGAGGGGAGAGAGAGACGCCGGCCGGGTGGACTGGAGGAAAAGGTAGAGAAGAAAGGGGAGGGAGGGTGGAGTTCTATCCCGCTCGTATTTGGGGAGAGGCTGCCTGGTGGTCCCTGGCTTCGTGGGCGAAGGCAGACCTGGGGGCTGTGGGCGGGGGTGTGTGACCCCCGAGGCCAGCTCGGCCCCGGTGCAGGTTCGCCTTCCTCTGCCTGCGGTGCATTTTCTTTCCGGTTCTTTTGAATTTCAGAAAAATGGTACTTTCTTTCCCTTCTTCCTTGAGGGCTAGAATTTAACCTCATATTAGTGTTTTCTTTGGCGAGTACTTAAAAGTAACCTTAAATGGCTCCCAAATATTTTCTCCGTTCCCGTCGTTTTCCCCTCCTCAATAAGCTCCAATGGCTCCCTATTGCCTCCGGGATCAAATATTAAGTCTTATGCCTGGCATTTAAAGCATTTCACAATCTGATCCTTTCCTAGTGTGACTATGTTCTGGCACGTTCCCCCAGGGCCAGTCTTGTTACAACTCCCGCTTCAGGGTTAAGCCTCCCGTAGATGGGGAATTTTCATCAGTTGAGCACACTGCCATATCTGTGCCTGCGTCTGTGGTTATACTATCTATAGTTGGTCTTCTTACACTTTATTTGGAGGCAGCCAGGTGGTTCAGTGGGTAGAGCAGAGCCTGGGGTCAGAAGACCTGAATTCAAATGCTAACTTGGACACTTCCTAGCTGTGTGACCCTGGGCAAGTCACTTAACCTCTGTTTGCCTTAATCCATTGGAGAAGGAAATGACAAACTACTCCAGTATCTTTGCTAAGAAAACACCAGGAGGGTATGGTCCACCATATCACAAACACGACTGAATAGCAATAGACGCTATTCTTTCTTCACGCCGCCCTGGTCTACTTGCTGCTCCTCTTCCGCACCACACTTTGTATCCAGTCTCCTTGACGCTCTCTTGCCAGTCTCCCTCCCTTTTCACTTGCCTGCAATGCTGTCTTCCTCCGGTCTTTGCTTTTCCTGGTTTCCTTTCCCGCCTTCTGCAGAGGGCCTTTCCTGATACCTCTCACGTTGCTAGCGTCAGTTCCATGCATGCCTTGTTTGTACACAGCTGTTTTCATGTTTGCCTCCTCCTTTAGAATGGGAGCTCCCTAAAAATAGAGACTGTTTTTGCATATCTGTAAGACGCCTTTCTTTATATTCCCAGTTCTTATCAATCACAATGCCTGGTATGCAACCAGTTTAACAAAGTGCTTATTGATGGACTGACTTTCATGGCAAATTTTGGAGCTAGATGGTGGTCTTAAAATAATTTAAAGATTGATTCTGTGTGGGACAGAGCCCACTTACTCAAAATAAAAAAAAAGGACTTAGATGCCTTGGAAGTAGAAAGAAGTTCATTACTTTCTCATGAGAAAGGGTACTGCTCCTAGACGCCTTTGCCGGCCAGGAAGCCTTATTTTACACCCTAACTGGAACTCCTCCTCCCTAACCCCCTTCCCCTTATCCCATTCTATTCGTGAACATCTTCCCCGGCAACAGAGAACAAAGTCACTTACACAAGTTTGCCCAGAGACAAGAAAAGGCGGGAAGTTTTGCAAGGGCAAGCAGTTCAGGTTGTGGGGAGGGCCATTCTTTTTGCTACTTACTTAAAAACAGGGTCTGAGCGGGGGAGGGGTTTGGAAAGCAACAATGCAAGAACCATTAACAAGAACTAATGACCCTTTGAGGAGGCTTCAGTTCTGAGAGATCATCTCTCACAATTCTCTTTTTTCACATAGAGCTGTTACTTGGGACCCGCAATATTTCATTTTTGGTAAGAGAGGACTGCTTTCTCCAAGTACTAGTTTTCTATGCATATTGGCATACTAATGCAGTTATTAAGTGAAACAATTAAATCCTTCTAGCACAGTGTTTTCTCCCGCCGAGTCAAAATTGGATATCTTGTAAATGAATGCATTTTGTTCCAGTTATGGTTTCATTGATTCAGAACTTTTGCTGCTTTTTTTGGACATATCTGTTTCAAATGACATTCAACAAACAGTGATAAAAAAAATGATATGGTATACTATGTTCAAAATGTTATATCAGGTCCTATGGCAGATTCATAGGAAAAAAAAAGATACAGTTAAAGGCATTTATTTTTCAATTCTGAGTAGCTGGGATGTGGTGGGAAAGAGAATTTATTTTCTTTCTGTTATGTATGTATTTCTATAGAGAGATACAGTTTTAGTGTAAAGAGCATTGAACAAAGAGTCCAAAGATCTTTGTTCAAGAACTGGTTCTGTTGCTTTTTTTTTATGACCTTGGGTAAGTCAGTTAATCCAAGTGAATTTCAATTTCTTCAACTGTACAATGCAAATGATAGGCTTGTACCTACTATATCATAGGTTAAGGAAACTCTTCTGTAAATTAAAAAACACTATAACTAGGAGTCACTTTATATGTTTGAGCCAATGCTGTGAGCTTAATACCTTCCTTAATGGCAGTATTCCACTGTTGGCTAATAATTTTTTTTTTAAATTTAAAAATTTTTTTTAGGCAATTGGGCTTAAGTGACTTGCCCAGGGTCACACAGCTAATAAATGTCAAATGTTTGGTCTGAGGCCGAATTTGAATGCAGGTCCTCCTGACTTCAGGGCAGGTGCTCTATCCACTGCACCACCTAGCTGCCCAGCTACTAATTAACTTTGTGGGCCATTTGTATGTCCACAATCATTTAACAATCTCTATAGTAATAATAATAATAGTTAATTTAATTTACATTGACTTTTTTAGTCAGTTTAACAAGTTTACTGACTCCAGCCCAGACTCTATCCACTGTGCCACCCAGCTGCCCCCAAGACCCTTTGTAGGTAAAATGGTGTGACTGAGGAATCTTTGTCCCCCCACCTAATTATGCTATATCTCTGCCCACAGCAAACTTCAGGACTATGTATAGATGACCATCCTAAATCTGAAGAGAACTTGTCCTTGAGTGAGAAGGTGGATCTGAAGTCCATGATATCAGTCCTTGATGGACAGATGCCAGCCCTGAATAACGTAATGACCATGTCTCTGAGCCCTCAACATGAGCAAAATAGAGATGATTTGAGGGAACAGGTAACCACCTTACAAAGAAAAAAATTTAACCCTGAAAGGTCTTGCCAGAACTTTAGATGTTTTCTATACCCAGAGAAAGCTGGACCCCGTGAGGCTGTGAACCAACTCAGGGAACTCTGCCTTCAGTGGCTGAGGCCAGAGATTCACACAAAGGAGCAGATCCTGGAGCTGCTGGTACTGGAACAATTCCTGACCATCTTGCCCAGTGAGATCCGGATTTGGGTGAAGTCACAGCATCCGGAGAACATTGAGGAGGCAGTCACCTTGGTGGAGGATTTGACTCAAATGCTTAAGGAGGAAGGTGAGAGCTGCAGAAGGATAGAGGGAGAGAGCAAAGTCTCTTCAGGGTACAAGTGGGAAAAATACACAACACAGATAGAGGGGCCCTTCCAGAGGAGAAGGTCCCTTGATGGATAGGTTTGAGGAAGCAGATATCACTGAAAGAGAGCATAGAGCAAAAAAAAAAAAAAAAGATGGAGACCTGTGTTATTTGCATATGCCTTAGGTGGAGACTGAGAAGGATCAATTAAAAAACTAGGAGAACAATGCAGTAGAAGTAACACAAAAACCCAGGGAAGAGAAAATATCCCAGAAGAGGTGGTTGACATTGTTAAATACTGCATAAGGAGGTCAAGAAGGGTGAAGACTGAGAAAAGTCTATTGGCATTGGCAATAAAGAGATTTTTAATGGGAAAAAAAAAGTTTCTTTATTGGATTTAGCAATAGAAAAGTTATCAGTGAAGAGCAGTTTTTGTCAAGTGGTAGGGATGGAAGCTAGACTTCAAGGTAGCAATGGGTATGGACAATTTTTTCTAGGAATTTCACTGTCACCAGGAGGAAAGATATAGAGCAATAATTTGAGGGGATAGTAGGGTTATGTGAATGTTTTTTAGGGATTTAAGTTGGCAAGGGGAAGGGCCAGATTATCCTTTGAAATCAGAGCAGAGGAGGAGAGAATGGGAGATACATGCTTTTGAGGAGATTTGAAATGTGAACCGGAAGAAGAAACTAGGGACAGATGGCCTCTGTTTTTTCTGGGAATTATGAGGCAAGGTCCTCTGTTAAGAAGAAGTGGGAGGTGGCTTAGGTGTCTTGAAAAGAGGAGAGGTTTGGAACAATCTCTGTGGGGAGTGCGATAGTAGATTTTTAGGGAAGAATAAAAGGCTGTGTCTGTAGCAATAAAGGCAGAATTCAGATTTAAAGATTCATTTTTAGTTAACCTAGTCAGGATTGTTGTTTGAATTCTTTTGGCATATAAAAGCACCACAGTAGGAGCTAAGAAGGCAATTGGGGAAAGTACTCCAGGGCTGGGTTTGGAAAGAGTTGAGTGGCAATAGGAGAATGAGACGTGAGATTCAAGGATCAAGGACAATAAACTGGCTAGCTAAATAGTCAAGATTTTAGAGGGGAAGAAAATGAGACCAGAAGAGGGATGATGTAATCCTATGAAATAAGGGAAAAATAAGAATGATGGGAAGTGGTGAGGTTAAAAATAGATTTAGAAGGAGTGAGGCACAGGGGGAGATGGAAGAAGAGGAGATGAGAGAAATTTCAGAGTTATAATTTATGGAGGCAGAACACCTGTGGAAGATGATAAAATCAAGGACCTGACTCTGCCTGTGTGTGGTTGTTACTGAGTGAGAATTTAGATTATAGGAGTTATTGAGGTGGATAAACTGGTAAGCAAAGTTAACTGAGAGAACATCAGCATGTAAATTAAAGTCCCTAAATATAAGGACATAGGTTGGAATAGAGAGAAAGACTGTGAACTCCTTGAGAAAGAAGGGTGGAGAGCCTAACCCATTGCTGGTAACCAGGATGGACATGGTGGTATATCTGGAAAGAATGAACCTCAGAAGAGGACATGTTACAGAGTGATCATATTAGGAATGTCTGGAAATGTCAGTAAAAAGTAAGAAACATGGCTACTCGTCTTCCTGACCCAGTGTGTCAAGGAAAATGAAAGAAGATACATTTAGTACAAGTATGGATGGTTAGGAATGCAAGGTCTTGTGGAAAGAAGTTTCTGTAATTTCAAAGATGAAATTAGGTTTAACATGATAAAAATAGAATGAGGCTTCAAGAAGGCATAGTGGAAGGATGGGTAGAATAGGATAGACACTTAGGCAGAATAAGGCTGACAGTGGTCTGGTATGAGGGAGTGGGGAATGATAGTGTTCAGCAATAAAAGTTTGTATTTATCATGCTTTTTAATTCTTTAATTGCCTGTTGAGATGAGCGAAGCAGATATGACTAGCCCACTTTTACTGATGAGAAAAACTAAGGTGTAGTATGATCAATTGACATGCTCAGGTTTATACATCAAGGAAGTGATTAAGCTTGATCTTGATTCCAGGTTTCCTTACCTGGAATCGTGCTGTTATCACAAGTTATTACTTGCTGTGTAATAAATAGAAAGTTCTCCATTTTCTGGGAAGCAATTTTTTCAGTGAACTGATTATACATCAAATTGGAGATATAATGGTGAAACTAGTCCAGGTATCTTGATTTTCAAACTGTCATTCTCTCCTTAATCAAGTCAACAAGCATTTATTCAGTGCCTACTATAGTGCCAGGCATTTGGCTGAGTGCTAGGGAGACAAAGGAAGACAAAAACAAGAGTTCACAATCTAATTGGGGAGACAACTTGCAAACAACTGTGTACAAACAAGATATATACAGGATGAATTGGAGATAATCTCAGAGGGAAGGCACTAGCATTAAAGGGCATTCTTGCTGAAGGTGGAGATGAGGAGGGAGAGCATTCCATTATATGAAACAGTATGTGAAAATGCCAAGAGTTGGGTGACTAACAGGAGTCCTGGGTGAGTAACAGCAGGAAGGCCAGAGTTACCGTATTGTAAAGTATGTGGAGGAGAATAAAGTATAAGAACACTGGAAAGGTAGGAAAGGTCTGCGTAGGGTTTTAAAAGCAAAACAGAATTAAAAAATTTATCTGAGAGGTTTGAGGGAACCACTAGAGTTTATCAGATAGGAAGTGTGTGGGGGGGTGAGGTGGTCAAACTCTACATTAGGAAGATCAAATTGATAGCTGAATGAGGTATGGATTAAATGGGGAGAGAATTGAGTCAGGAAAACCAGCCAGAAGGTTATTGCAATAGTGTAGGCCTCAGAAAGACTATTTCAGTAGCCCAGACCTTAAAACCTGCTGTCGTCACAGGGACATCAAGTCAAGGCCCCATGTGGCACTGCCATTTTGCTTTGAATTTGTTATAGCCTAGTCACTGATTATTTTTCCATCCTTTTGTCTACCTAGCTCCGATTTCTCAGGATTCTTCTGTTCTCCAAGAGGGAAGCACAGAGAAGGCAGGAATATCTTCTGTGTTACCAATAGCCAGATTTCAGGTAAGTTGAAATGTCCTTTGTCTTTCCTGCAATGCCATCTTAGGCCTCAGTATGGATACTTTTCCATCCTTTTGCCCTGTGGTTTTTCTTCCCAGGAAAGGCCTGTCCAGAGATGCAAATTCCTATTGTTTTCTTCCCCCCCCATAAGTTTTTATTAGTATTATTTGTTTCCTACATTATTTATAGTTATTCCAAGAGAGCCATATCATATTACAAGTAATATTTTTTAACAGAAAAAAAAATCAACACAACTACTCAATGTATGGAAAAAGTCTGAAAACATGGTATAATACCTGGGGACCTCCCACCTGCATGAAGATGGTTTGGGAGTGTTCTGTCGTATCTCTTCATTTGAGTGATGTTTGATCTTTATAATTTTGTTACGTTCACTTTTTTTTTTTTTGATGGTCATTTTCTTTTTTGGTGAAGCCATTGTGGTGTGTTTCATTCACTTTTGATTTTTTGGTGGGTTGGTTCTTTCTGTTTACATTGCTGTAGTTATTGTGTATGTTGTTTTCTTGGTTCTGTTTGCTTCACTCTGCATCAATTCATATAGATCTTTCCATGCTTCTTTGTATTCATCACACACTTCCTTTAACAGTTTGTTTGGCCATTCCTGAATTGATGGCATCTACTTTGTTTCTAATTCTTTGCTATCGCAAGAAGTGCCACTATAAATGTTTTGGAGTATATGGGGATATTCTTCATGTTGATCATCTCCTTGGGCTGTAGCCCAATAACAGTGGTTCAAAGAGTATGACCATTTTAGTCTCTTTATTTGCATAATTCCAAATTGTTTTACAAAATGGTTGTGCCATTTAATAGCACCACCAACAGTGTATTAGTGTACCTGTCGTTTCACAACCCTTTCAACATTAACTGTTGCCATCTTTTTTTTTTTTGTCATTGCCAATTTGCAGATTGGGAAGAGAAACCTCAGGGTTGTTTTGATTTTCATTTCTCTTATTATTAATGATTTGGGGTATTCTCTTGTAGTTGTGAATACTTAAGGAGTTCTTTTGAGAACCATCTGTTCATATCTTTTGACCACTTATATATTAAGAAATTACTTTTAATCATATATTTATTGTTAATCAGTAAACATTTATCAAGCTCCTACCGTGTGCCAGGTACTGTGCTAAGTAAGCACTGTTTATATACATTGGATACCAAACTTTTATCAGAGAAATTTGATATAAAGATTTTTTTTCCCCATTCAACCACTTCCCTTTTCATTCTAGATGCATTAATTTTGTCTGTGTAGAAGCTTTTCAGTTTCATGTAATTGCTTCTGTCATTTATTTGGTTAAGAATAGATCTTCTACCCAGAGCTGTGAGAAGTATATGATTGTTTCCCTTCTAATTTTTTAAAAGTATGATCCTTTATATTAAGGTCACATATCCATTTATAATATATTTTGGAATGTGGTATATATGAGGTATTGGCCTAAATCTGATTTCTGCCAGGCCGCTTTTTGTTTTTCAAGCTTTTGGAGTTTTTTTTTTACAGAGTGTTTTCCTAGGTAATTTATGTTTTCTGTTTTGTCAAACACTGTGTTTTTGAGTTCTGTGGTTTCTAATTATTTCTTTCTAGTGTGTTTCTTATTTATCTCTCTCTCTCTCTTTTATTTTTTAAACAAATGCCAGATGATTTTGATTATTGCTGATTTTTAATATGATTTGAAATCTGGAAGTGCTTTCTTTACATAATTTCCCTTGATATTCTAGATCTTTTGTTTTTCCAAATGCATTTTGTAATTATTTTTATTAAATTCTATGTAGTGTCCCTTTGGCAGTTTGGTTGGTATAGCATTAAAAATGTTAATTGACTTTGACAGAATTGGCATTTTTATTATATTGGCACAGCCTAACCTTGAGTACTGAATATTCCTTTTGCTATTTAGGTTGTTCTTTATTTCTTTAAGAAGCACTTTGTAACTGAATCTACACAAGTCTTTTGTGTGCTTTTCTAGGTTGATCCTGATATATTTTATGCAGTTTGTAGTTATTTTTAATGATATTTGCATTTCTATTTTTGCTTCTTGGTGATCTAGCTAAACTTGCCATTGGGTTCAGATTCCTCAAGGAAGGAGAGACACCTGGAAATACTGACTACCACAACTGTTTATTAGCCTTGCAAGGAAGGAAAGTCACAGGGATGGGAATGACTGGATAGGGTGGGGTGTACACACACACACACACACACACACGCACACACACACACACACTCTCTCTCTCTCTCTCTCTCTCTCTCTCTCTCTCTCTTTCTCTCTCTTTCTTTCTCTCTCTCTCTCTCTCTCTCTTAATTGCACAGTAATGGAGAGGCAGGGTACTGCCCCAGTAAGTCATAAAGGGCCTTCTTATGCCTGGTCAGCATTTGTGCTGTTGCAATCTGGGCATTTTATTCCCTCCCAGGGGCTTGTCAGGAAGGGGATAGCCTGAGAGCTCCTGCTGGCATATTTTTCAAATGATGTCAGTGTTCCTGCTGGGTCTCTTATTGCTAGGGTTGAGGACCCAGACCGCTAGTTAAGTCTTGCTCCCTACTCCGTTATTATTATACAGAAGTGCTATTGGTTTTTGAGGTTTGCTTTTGTAGCCTGTGACTTTGCTGAAGCTTCTAATTGTCTCAGTTAGTCTCAGTTTGCTGATTCCCTAAGATTTTTCAAGTATACCATCATATCATTAGCAAATAGAGATATTTTTTATCTCTTCCTAACTATCTTTATGACTTTAGTTTCTTTCTCTTATTGATGTTGCTGGTATTTCCAGAACTATGTCAAATAATAGTGGAGAGAATGGGCATCTTTGCTTCACTCCTATATTTACTGAAAAAGGTTTTGGTGTATTGCATATGATGCTTGCTTTTGGTTTTAGATGATATTTTTATGATATTTTAAAAAAGTCCCTTTATACCTATACTGTGTAGGATTTTTAGCATAGAATAGTGCTATACTTTGTCAAAGGCTTTTTCTGAATCTATTTAAACAATCATAAGATTTTTCATGTTTTGGTTTTTAATATGATTAATTATGTTGATTGTTTTCCTAGTGTTGAACCATTCTTGCATCCCTAGCATTAAATCTCTTTGTCATAATGAGTGATTTCTTGGATAAATTGCTGTAATCTGACAGATTTTTGTTTAAAAATTTTTGAGTCAGTATTCATTAATAATATTAGCCTATGATTTTCCTTCTATGTTTTATCATTTCATGGTATTCCTTTGGTATTAGGACTATATTTGTCTCATAAAAGGATTCTGGTAGAGTGCTTTCTTTCTCAATTTTTAAGAATAATTTATGAAGTCTGGAGACTAAGTGTTCTTTAAAAGTTTGATGGAATTCTCCTGTGGATCCATCAGAACTGGGAGTTTTTATCTTTCATAGTTTCTTTACAGTTAGATCTGAGAGAAATGATTATTAAATAGCAAATTATTATCTCTGATCTTTCCGAAAAATTTACTCCACCTAGACTATCTTACCTACATAGTTGGAGTTGTTGTTTCACCCAGTTTGAAAACTTTACAAAGAATTTAATCTAAGTTGAATTCCAGCCCATTATATTCTACTTAGGTTTGGGTGATCCTTTGTTTAGATTGCTCAAGGCTGGGGATGATTTGGAAGTGAAGGACTTGATCAAAGTCATGTTTCACCTCCTCTCCCCAGCCTCTCTTTAGAATAGGTCCACCTCATTCACTCTCACTACTTGTTAACCAAACAGAATCAATTGCCATCATCAGGAACATACACTCTTCCAAGGGCATATAAGTGTTGAGTGGGTTCCATAAGAGGTCTTTGGCATTTGAGAGTGTTAGTAACCCCTTTTATTAATTATATGCTAGCATGATTAATAAAATGATTAACTACCCAGAAACTATGTCTCTCAAACTTTTTATACATCACAGTTGTATTTCCTTCTCTGAGATTGGGTTATTTAAGATCTTTTTCTGATATCTCACAATTTGGGTACTTTTTATTGGGCCACTTCTTTCTTTTTTGTTTTCAGTTATGTTACCACATACCTGTGCGTAATACTTTATGATTATTCTTTTTATTCTATTTTTGTTGTGATTTCACTTTGTTCATTTACTATTTTATTGATTTAATAACCCTCTTCTTTTTAATGACAGCTAAATATTGATCAATTTTATTAGCATTTTCAAAGAACTAGAATTTACTTTTTATGGTTTATATGTTTTTTTGTTTCTAATTTATCTATTTCTTCTCTAATTTTTAATATTTCCTCTTTTGTGCTTATTTTAGGCCTGCATCATGAGCTTCATTGTTCTTCGGAACACATTATTCCATTTCCCTCCTACATTTTCTGGTGGGTGCAGAATAGTTTTGTACTATTTGAATTTCCTTTTCTTTGATTTTGATAGCCTTTTGCCTGATGGCTTGCAGAACTTGTTTCTGAATTGAATCGTTAAATATGTCTACTATATATCTTGAAATTGGCAGCCTTGGTTTTTTTTTATTTTTTCCTGGAGGGATCTATTAATTCTTTTAATTGGTATTTTATTTTCTGGTCTCAGAAGGATTGGGCAGTTCTCTTGTATTACTTATTGCTGAGGTTTTTTTGTCTTGTCTTCTGGGAGACCTATGATCCTTACATTGTCTGTATGCATCTTGTCTTGGAGATCACTATGTCTTCTTTGGATAGTGAGCATATTATCTTTTGATGTTAATTGTTTTTTTTGCTTCTCTTCCTCTAGATTGTCCTTCACTTCTGTGTATTTGTATTCCCAATTTATTGTCCTCTCTTGTTTGCTGAGACTTGCCATCACAGATTCAGGTTTTGCTATTCTGCCCATTATTTTTGTTGAGCAAGTCATTAATTCTGCTTTCAAAATTCTCATTTCTCTTTTAAACCACTCAACAACAGTGTGTTGTGGTTCCACGTTCTCAAATTCCACAGAGTCCTCTGTCTCATCAAATGTTGAATGGTTTCCCTTTGTTTTGTAGTATTTGTTCATCCTTCTGCTATTGATGTTTTCTCTGTTAATATGTCTGCTTATGTTTAAAGTCTTTGAGTTTTCTTCTTCCTGAAATCTTTGGTAGTGTCAGTGGATTTTTTTTTTTCTCCTTATTTTCCTCCTTCCCCTCTGATAGTGGTTTCCTTGAATCTTGAAGTATCTCAGCCTCCTCCCACACTGGGCAATTCACAGTTTAGCAGCCTAGATCTCTGGCCCAAGTAACTTTTGGAACTGGCTCGCTGGATACTGAGTTCTCCCCAGATCCTCCCTGCCACTTTTCTGAATGTCTTATTTCAGTGTCCAGTTCCACTTACTACTGTGGTCCAGTACTAGCAGAGAGCTACCATGTGGTGCTATGAGGTTGATTTGGGTCTCTGAGGCTCTGGGAGGAAGGGTTTTGTGGGGTGTGAGGTTTGATGTCTTTTGATAGCTTGAACATCGGTCCTGCTTTTCTGTTCTGCTCTTCTGCAGAGACCATGCTGGTGCTATAGCAGTACTTGTCTGTTGTAGCCCTGGCTGGTTCTGCAGCCTGGAGCGCTGACACAACGCTGGCCATTTTTTGGTTGCTTCCTGAGCAAACTATCCAAGTAAACTTCTGCAGCTTTTTTTTTTAATCTTCTTTTGGATTCTAAGTGTCCTAGACCGTGGAAATTGATGAAGTTTCTTTATCTTTGACAGATAATTTCTGTTTTGGAGAGGTTCTGGATGTAGGAAGCACAGAAAATATCTTCATTTTGTTGGTCATATGATCTAAAAGTTTCAAACTTCTGTTGTTTTCTTTAAATTTAAAATTAATTAAATTTTCTTTAAATTAAATTGGACCTATGCTGTGCTTCTGAAGATGATGGATCCTATAGGGAATATTCCCTTGTTTTGCTGTGTCCTCCCTTTTCTACCCAAGTTTCGTTTGTAACTATTATATGTTTATTGTAGCGGCAGTCACTCTGATGGATATAAAAGAAACATAAACACAGTCTGTGGAATCAAAGAAATTATAGCCTTGTTGTAATGACAAGATTACAGATAGGAAAAAAGGAAAATAAGTGAAAGTGCATAACTGAATCCCACAATGCATAATCCAGAAAGAAAGTGCTATCAGTTAAGGGAGAGATCAAGAATGGGTTGCAGTGTAGGAAGTAGATTATGAAAAAATGATTGTATTTTACTAGGAAGGATAGGGAAATAGATTTTAAGTGAAAAGAATAGGACAAACACAGAGAAGATAAGGAACATGTTATCTGTGATAACTAGTGTGAATAATATACTTTCCTGGCTAGAGTAGAAGGCTTTTTAAATAGTTTTTTAATACTCAAGGCAGTATTCAATATTCTCTTCAAGCTAGGTTTGAAGAAAATATTGAATACTGGCTTGAGCAGTTTGAATTTTATTTAGGAGGCAGTGGATAGTGCTTTAAGTTTTTTGGGGAAGACATTTGAAGGGATGAAAGGGTAAAGAAGAGTCAAAATCAACTCTAGTATTTCTAACTTTCCAGACTAGAAGAATGGCATTATATGTTGCGATCATGGCTATGTGAGGCTGACTATAGAGCTATGTCAGATTGTTAGGAATAGATCGGTCTGCTTATCCCCATTTCTGGGCCATGTCTCTCCCATGCTCTGAATTCATTTTCTCTTGAATGGAAAGTGAATTGGGAGCCCTCCTGCCTCAGGGAGCCTGAGTTCATCATGGATGCTGTCAACCTTCTACTCACATTGTACATCATAATAAAAAGATTTTCTTAGGCCTCTATACTCTTTAGACAGTTACTCTCCACAAATTTCACATATTGCTAGCTTTTTTGAAAAGAAGAAATCTGGTTTTTTTAAACTCTGAAAATAGGGAACAGTTAAGAGAATCCATTGGTTTTAGTGTGGTAGTTATCCAAGTTCAGCTGCTTAGAGTGGAAATTACTCCAAGCAATATTCTTGGAAATGTAACTTTAACTTACTTGGCAGTATTCGACTTCATTTCTAACTAAAGAAGGAGTACCTGGTAACTTATCAATAGTTATAATTTCCAAGAAATTTTTCAACTTGTTTTTACGGATTAGGCAGTGACTTGAAACAAGTGAAGAATAGTCTTCCCTCCTCCTCCTTTTCCCTTTGAAATCCCTGAGTGTGTGAATAATACTAGAGTTTCCATATCTAAAGAACTTTGCAAACCTTAAAGCAGTGTATATAAGTATTAGCTAGACAGCTTGAGTGCCCTATAGTATCCTTAAGGTGTCAGGGGAAAGGGAAGAAAGTCCCCTAACACTTGGAGTGGGTCTTCTCTGATGAGCTTATGTGAGGACATTTGTAATCCTAAAATGCTCAGTTCACATTTCTATTACCCAGTCTCAGGTTCGAGTGTCTTATCTGTGTGTAACCAAGACAGAGGTCTGAACAGCAGTTAAGTATCTTGTTCCTAGCTGACTTTGATTCTTCTCTACCCTTTCATCCCTTCAAATGCTTTCCCAAAAAAACTTGAAACTCTATCAGAGTTCCTCTGAGGCTGAGCTTCTCTAGTCTTCTATTCCTGGGTGCCCATACTATATGTATTTTTATTCCTCTAGATAATCAGTCTCTCTAGCCTTATTACTCTGAACAATAACTTTTGCTTGTCCTTCTTAATCATACTTCCAACCTCAACCACATTGTCCTTCTTTGGTTGGTCAAACACCAAAGATGACAACTGTCAGATTTTATACAGATTTTATACAAACACCATATTTGGGTCCTGTTTCTAGAACACACTTGTATTCTGTGCCTTCAGTCTGGTCCAGATTCCAGATTGTGGAGCCCCATTTACTTAGCTAGACTTATAGCCTTCCTGATCAAATGAGATAATATTTGCATGTGCCTGGCACATAGTAGGTACTATATAAATGCACATTTCGTTCTCTTCCTTTTCCTCCCTCCCTCCCTTTTCTCCAGTTCACAAGGTCTTATACCTCCTTGATCATCTCCATGTGTCTCTTCCATATATAGAATGCAAACCTCTGTCATCCCTATTGGACCATCATGGCCATGCTCCTTCCTAGTCTGTCTCACCCTTCCTCACAGTATATAAATATGAATGGAAAATCAAAACCTATGTAGGTTTTGGCTGGCAAACATTAAAATTACATTTTAGTCAAACTGGCCTTCTGTTTTGTCACTTTTGTTAATTCCATCTCCTACCTGCGTATCTTTCACAGGCTACTCTCCATGACTGAAATGTTTTCATTCCTCACTTATAGTTTCCAGAAATATGTAGATGCATTCAAATTTCAGCTCAAGTACTACCTCCTATAGCATGCCTTCCCTAGTTTCCATAATTGTTAGCATTCTTCACACTCATCCTCCCTTAGTTACTTCTTATTTTTTATTGTATATGTTTTGTACGTATTATCTCTAATTTTTTATATTCCCAAAAGACTATACTCCTGGAGGACAGGTATAGTTTTTTTCCTGTGTTTATATCCTTTCCCTCCAGCAGAGTGTTGGTACTTAGTAGATGTTAATAAATACGTGATGAGAAAATTTTTCTAATTAGAAAATGTCTGAGAATTGTGTTTTTATTGAAAAAATGAACAAATGAATAATCTTTCATAGTTGAGTAGAATTGCTACATTTTGTTCAATTGGAAATTAATATTTGAAGTATGATTGATATGTCTCATCATATAATATCATAAGATGATATGATTGATATTAACCAAATACATCTTATGATGACTTTTGTTAAATTGGTGGCCTTATGGAATTTTGGAAGGAAAGCATGAATTAATTTTTCACCAAGTTAATAGCATTATCCACTATGTGCACCTGAGGATCCTTCAGCAAAATAACCAGTAGTGCTGATTATGAAAGGTAGGTTCCCATTGGTTCATTGGTTTTTTTAAAAAAAATTCCAAGTTCCTTAAGAGTATAGGTTTTGTCACATTCTTCTTTCATGTTTGCCATAAAGGGTTAAATAAAACTATGTACATTATAGATAGACAAATGATTTGGGATCAGTCTGCATGCTAAAAATGACTGTTACTTATTATGTACCCTATTCATTTCTCTACTGCTACCATTCTTCATCACTAGTGTTGTAAGGGAGCTTGTACCAGGTAAGCAGAAATGTGTTTGCTCTTTCAGGAAACCGTCACATTCCAGGATGTGGCTCCAGACTTCACTTGGGAAGAGTGGGCACAATTGGACCCTGGTCAGCAGGACCTCTGTAGGGATGTGCTGATGGAAAACTATAGCAACTTGGCCTTTGTTGGTAAATCTTTCCTTTGTGACTCCCAATTTTTACTTTGGGATGTTTTTGCTTCACTGATTATTAAAACCTATATAATATCAGAAGTACTTAGCTCAATTTTGTGTTACTATATAGGAACCAGAAAATTTTAGTTCATTTTGGGTCACTTCACAGGATTTTTATTTTCATTCTTCCCTGGCTAAAAATCTTTTACCTTGTAGAACTAAAAATGGAGCCACTTCCCTTGCCCATTGCTATCCCTGATAATATCCTTTCCCAATCATCTGCTTCTCTCTGTCCAAGATTTTCTGCCAGGATCCTAGTATAGATACCTCTAAGAGTGGAGGACTCTGAGTGAGGACTTAAGTGTCTTTCTGAACTGAAATCAATTCTGTGTCTATTTTCTCTATAACTTTTAAAAATCCATTACTGAATATGCTTCTAAAATCTTTTTAAGTACCCTTTGAGTGTCCTTAGCAAATTTTCTCCAGATTTTTTCCATAACTATTTGGATCATATTCTAAAATGACTTCTTCTGTCGTGTGAGTGTCCATTTTGCTTTTCTTTTCAATGTATAGGACTTTCAAATTCTAAATCAGATGTGATCTCCCAGTTGGAGCATGGAGAAATGCCATGGTTGCCGAGGAGTGAAGCCCCAAGAGGTGTCTGTCCAGGTAAGTGAACGAAAAACTATCAAATGGGAATTAATAACCAGTTTCTACTTAGATGGTTAGTCAGGCAGAAAACATTTTTAAAATATTGCTCCAGCAACCCCTCCATAAAACTTTCCAGGTTTTTGGAAAAGGGGTGAAGCCAACTGGTTTGAACTATTGCATATATTTACATTATCAACAAGTAATGTGTGCCTAGTGCCTTGAATCCTCAACATTCATTCCTAGGATCATAGATTTAGAGCTGTAAGGAGTCTTAGAGGCCAACTCCAACTGTCTCATTTTACAAATGAGGACACTGATGCTCAGAAGTTAAGTAACTTTATTTTGGTCACTTTGCTTTCTTTAAATTCTGAAACCTGACTTTTTAGCCTGATTATATTATGAAAGTTGCACTTAAAAGTCATCGCTGGCTTCTCCTGTTTAAATCTAGGGATCTTTTTGTAATCCTTATATTAAAATTCTTTGCCTTCTTAGATGGTGTTGAGTAGAATCACAGAATATCAGAATTGAAAGGGACCTTAGAGGCCATTTACTTCAACTCATACTTGAACAGGAATACTCTCTATGACATGGCCACTGACTGTAATTCAGCCTTGCTTGAATATTTTTCATGAAAAGGAACATGCAGCCTCCTGAGTCGGCCCATTTTATTTTTAGTTAAGGAGTTATTATTTAATTTATAGGTAAAGTGTAAGGATATTGTATTGTGACTAGGTAAAATTAATGCTATAATTTAATCTGACACATGTGAAAAATACAGTGTAATAGAATCCAAGGGTGAAGTTTTCTGTGTTTGTAAGTTCTAGGTAGTTTTTCTTATATTATTTCTTGCGTTACAGTATTCAAGTATTTTTTTTCATTTTTATTCTTGGATACCTATAATTCTTAAGTTGTCTCTACACATCGTGTCTTCCATATCAATATATTTTGCTTGTATGCAGATCATATTTGCTTTTTGCTTCTGTTCTTTCAGATCATTCTTTACATCTTTATATTTGCATTTCTAATGAGTTATTCTCATTTTTGTTCCTTTAATAAAACTTGTCACCATAGATTCAACTTTTTCTCTTTTGTTATTAATATCTTCCTTGCTGGCTTATCTGCTTATGCTTCAAGATCTTTAATTAGAGTTTTCTTCTTCCTGAGATTTTTGGCAGTTTCAGTCTTTTTTCCCATATAGTCTTTATCACCTACTCTCTGACTTCTCTTCCTTTGATTGTGGTTTCTCTGAATGCTGGACCTTACAGCTGTGTCAGCCTCCTCCCTCACTGGATAATTCACCATTTTATGATTTCAGTCTCAGCCCCAGATGACTTCTGAGAGGATAGGACTGGCTCCAGATAGATGCTAGGCTCTTTCAGTCTTTGTGAAGGGGCATACAGCCATATACTTGTTCTGCCCCAGTACTCTTTGTTACTCAGTTATCTGACTGAGCTCTGTTGCATTTCATTTTGTTGTTTCCCTGCTGTCCCAGCCCAAACTTTTTTGTTTGCCAGGGTAGTGAGAAGGTAGAGCATGGAGTAGAATAGAGTTCTTTATGATGATAAAACTTGTAATATATATCTCTCAGTGATTCTGTGAGGAAAGTACTTTGTTGCTATTAAAGAGGCTGTAGAATATGAGTTCTTTCTCTTTCTTTCTTTGCGAGGCAGTTGGGGTTAAGTGACTTGCCCAGGGTCACACAGGTAGTAAGTGTCAAGTGTCGGCTCTGAGACCGGATTTGAACTCAGGTCCTCCTGACTCCAAGGCCGGTGCTCTATCCACGTGCCACCTGCCTGCCCCAAATATGAGTTATTTCAAGAGGTATTTTTCCCATTTTGTTTTTCCATTGCCATGACAGCAATCTTCTCTCTTCTAGCTAACGAGACATTTATATTTTTAAATTTCTTTCAGACAAGGACATTGAACCTGAAGCCAAAGAATCAGATCCAAAGGGGGAATGTTCTGTGGAAGAATCATCTCAGGAGACAATAATGGAAAAAACTACAGAGCATAGTTCCTTGGATCCTGAAATGGGCAATGAAACCATTGAATATCATGGCTCACTAGAAAGGCAGCAGGACCACCAGGAAACACATTTGAAACAAATAATAATCACACATGAAGAAACTGTAAATAAAGCAGGAGACTCTGTAATTAATCAGTTTAGGGGATGCTTTATTCTAAGGTCAACCCTAATTACACAGCAGAAAGAAAACGGTCTTTATAATAATGATACATGTGGAAAGACCTTCAAAGATAATTCAAAACCAAATAAATGTCAAAGAATGTACATAGGGAAGTATAGATTAAAATATAAAGAATTTGGGAAAGCCTGTAACCAGATTTCACAGCGTAATGTGCATCATACCAATGATTCTGGAGAGAACTACCATATGTACAATGAATGTGGGAAAGCCTACAAAAAGTGGGCGAACCTTACTGAACATCATAGAATTCTTCCTAGAGAGGAACCTTATAAATGTAATAAATGTGGGAAGGTTTTCAGTCACATTTCACAGTTTAATCTTCATAATGCTAATCATTCTGGAGAGAAATTCCATAAGTGTAATGAATGCGGGAAAACCTATGACAAACAGGCAGACCTTATTGAACATCAGCAAATTCATTTTGGAGAGAAACCTTATAAATGTAATGAATGTGGCAGAGGCTTCACCCAGATGGCACATCTTATTCAACATCAGTTCACTCATAGTGGAGATAAACTATTTAAGTGTTATGAATGTGGAAATGCCTTTATCCAGAGTTCACAGCTTAATATTCATCAAGTAATTCATTTTGGAAAGAAATTCTATACATGTAATTATTGTGGGAAAATCTTCAGCTTGAGGACAAACCTTTCTCAACATCTGAAAATTCATTCTGGAGAGAAAGCCCATAAATGTAATGAATGTGGGAAAGCCTTTTCTCTAAAAACAAACCTTTCTCGACATCAGAAAATTCATTCTGTAGAGAAATTCTATAAGTGTAATGATTGTGAAAAGGTCTTCACTATGAAGACACAACTTTCTCAACATCAAGTCAGTCACCTTGGAGAAGAATTCTTTAAACCTAATGGTTTTAGAAAAGTTATCTCCCAGAAGCCAGACCTTCCTCAACATCAAAAAATTCATCCTGGAGAGAAATCCTATAAATGTAATGATTGTGGGATAGTCTTTACCCAGAAGGCTTATCTGACTGAACATCAGAGAATTCATTCTGGAAAGAAACCGTATACATGTAATGATTGTGGGAAAGCCTTTACCTATAGGGCAAATCTTACTCAACATCAGAAAATTCATTCTGGAGAGAAACCTTATATATGTAATGTTTGTGAGAAAGCTTTTAACCTAAAGACAAACCTTTCTAGGCATCAGAAAATTCATTTTGTAGAGAAATCTTACAAATGTAGTGAATGTGATCAAGTCTTCACTAAGAGGACATGCCTTACTAAACATCAGAGAATTCATTCTGGAAAGAAATCCTATAAATGTATTGAATGTGGGAAAGCTTTTAGTGTGAGGACACACTTTACTCAACATCAGTGTGGTGGAGCAAAACCATTTAAGTGTAAGGAATGTGGAAAATCCTTTGCCCAGCAGAAAAGACTTGCTAGACATCAGAGAATTCATTCTGGAACAAAATCTTGTAAATATAGTGAGTGTGGGAAAGCCTTCACCCCTCGGACAAGCCTTACCCAACATCAGAGAATTCATTCTGGAGAGAAATCCTACAAATGTGTTGAATGTGGGAAAGCTTTTAGCCGGAAGACACAACTTATTCACCACCAACTTAGTTATAATGGAGTCAAATCACTTTAAGTGTAAGGTATATGGAAAAAGCTTTACCCAGAGCACTTGTTATTCCACATAAGAGGAATGCTTTGTACATCATAGGCATTTAATGAATATTTGTGAATTACAAATTACAAATGAAGTAAGTTAAAACACTTTGCTGAAAACTAACTAGTCTCATGTCTACAGCATTTCTTTGTTCTGCTGTGCAAGTGAAATGTCATTGCTCTTGTGGCATCTTTATTTGCTTGTCCACTTTGCTGGTAATTAATAAATTGTTAACACGTGTTGTTGCTATTATTACTGCTAGTTTGTGTAATTCTTTTTGCTGATATTTTACAAACATCATTGTCTTGGAGTTTGACTAAATTATTTTGTCAGTTGGTGATTTGCCTTTTGATAATACATTAAATGTTGGTATTATGAATCAGTATTGTGAAAATATAAGTGTGATACTTAAAGAATATATCACTTGATGAATTTTAGCATTTATTAAGAATTATGGATATATGAAGTAGACTCCATGTATGGAACTGAGGATGGAATAGAAGTCTTGAAACGCATTGGGGTATAGTGGACTCAGCACTAGATTTGGAGTTCTTATAGTTCTCATAGACTTGGGTTCAAATGTGACCTTAGACATCAGCTGTGTGACTCTGGGCAAATCACTTAATTGATTTGTGCCTTTGTTTCCTCATGTGTACAATGAAAGGTTTTGGACTTGATGGTCTCTGAGATCCTATTCATCTCAAAATCTATGATCTTCTGACAAAGTGAAAGAATTGAAGGACTGTGGAATAGTCTCTATTGGAATGAAGTTAGGAAAATCCATTAAGGATGTGTTCTTTGAATTACTCTTTCATTTGACCACTTAAAAAATACTTGATAAAATTCAGATAGAGAGTAGTACCAGGGAGCTAGCTAGTAATCTATTCTCAGAATTGGAAAAGCACTATAGAAATATAACAATATTCATTAATGAAGCTGATGTAACAGAAAAGTTGAGGTACAACATTTTACAGCGCTTGAGCTTTCACAGAAAACTAAACAGTTTGTTATCATCAGATTTCATTTGTGAATGATAATTCCATGTTTTCTGGGTAAAGCTTTACCTGGCCCTATATGAAAGGCTGACTTCCTTCTGCCAGGTAGCAGTGTGACAATTGCATGAGTACCTCAAGCTAGGTCTACTCTAGTGGAAATCTCTAATTGGTTCATTGGCATGTCATGTGAAAGCCAGACCTTCTGATTGTATCACTTGAAAGCATGTTACAGATAAAGGAACTCAGCATAGATCTGGGCCACATGTTCAATAAAGCTACTACTAAAGGGCTGGCAAGCATCAGATAAAGAAATGATGGGCTATTTGATGGAAAATCCCAAAGGCCCCATATTTGATTACTTGTGGGATCTATAGAAACCCCAGAATCACATATTTAGAATATTTAAAAGATTGAGATGTTCTGTGTCTCTTTGAAGTATCAGAGGATATGGTACCTTCAGAATTTGGCAGTATTCAGTACAAAGGGAAATTACCATCTCAATTTTTGGCATGGGTAGAGAGACACTTTGTTAGCCTAGTACAGAAAGGGTTAGTCCTTAAAAAAAAAAAAAGGAACAGATTAAACCAAGTAGTGAACTGGTATCCCTAAATGATGCTGTAGCAAAATGCCGCATTGGTCATGTAAGAAATTAAAACAGCTCATGAAAGCATATGAGCTAATGGAAAAGCTCAATAAAAGGCCCACTCATATATGCCACTCCATCACCTTAGGAACATCTATTCATGCATGGTTTAAGGAAACTAAGCAAGAGGACAGCCCTGTAGGTGCACTGTTAAATGGAGAAACTTAAAAAATCTGGTGGGACGTAGACCTGGAATAGACCTGTTCCACCTGGAAAGGTGTGAGACAGATGTCCTATGAATACTGCCATCAGGAGAAAGACCAGAAAGGCATTTATATTCCATTAAAACTGGCCATAAGGGGGTACTACCAAAGAATAGAATCTTTTGTGTGTAAGACTACTGGGCTTTGGACAAAAGCACCAAAATGGCCCAGTATACCATACCAAGAGTTTGAAGTGGACCAGTGCTCTGAATTTTTGGTTTAAGTCAACCAATTGTTCTTAGTAGTTTCTATGTTCAGTGACTGTTACTAGATTCCTATGGCAAATAAAAAGACTTCTTTCATCTGCTTGGCTGGGTTTTTACCAGTTTGGCCATATACCTCAAGGTATCTTGTAGCCATCTACCACTTTCCAAAGATTAGTGGAGAACACAGTCAGAGATAGAGCTATTTGTAAGTGCTGGTGTAACTTGATGACATCATTGTCTTTAGGAAAATCATTGAAGAACATGAATAAAGACTGATGAAAGTCTTTGCTTGGGAAAAATGTCCTAAAGTTTTGATTTGAAAAGTGCCGGTTTTGTCAAGTATATTGATAGCATAGTATTGCAACAAAGTATGAGAAAGAAGCACTTCTGAACTTTCAAGATCTAGTGACTTTTCTGAGATTTGGCAGGTGTTAACCACAAAATTTGTTAGAAACTATGTTGCTATTCCTAAGCCATTGAATGATGTCATTTGAGCATACGTGACTGAAGAGATAGGTAGAAGGGCAAGAAATACAGTTACGTTAAAATCAGAAAACCCTTTTTGAGACCAGTGGGCAGATAGATCTGAACAGGGTTTCAGAAGTTTGGTCATAAGAACATTAGGCCTAGGTAGACTGAGCCTTTTGTACTACACACTTCGGTGTCAGCTTTAGAGAACTTAGGAACAGTTTTATTCCAAGAGGGTGGTGGTCATCAAAAACCAGTTACTTTTGCCAGCAGAGGCTTAAAAGACAGTCAGACTCATTATCCCATACACAATCTACAATTCTTTAAAATGGGTTGTTACTCATAAATTCAATGACTGTATATAAAAGGGAAGTTGCAAGTGTGGAATAACAATGATCTATTCACATTCTGACCAATACCAAGTTAGATATTGGTTTCCAATGATAGGTGGAAGCATTAGCCAATTGAATCACAGCATACATTACTGATCAGGGAAAATTAATGTGGATGCAGATATGCTGTCCTTGGCTGTATATTGTTAAAAATTTTCTGTTAATGACATTGAAGAAGGCATGTGGTATGCTTAATAATCTGGTAGTATATATGTATACACACACATATACATACATATATATGTACACATATATGTACCTACATATATATATGTAGGTACATATATATATATACGTACAAGTCTAATTCCAAACTGATCTCAATAGAATAGAACAATAGGTCAAATCAAGGAAGGTGAAGTTTACTAAATGTAAAAGTCTGCAGTCAGCCTCAAAAAGAGCAACTTTGAAAATACGTGGTGGTGACACATGACTAGAGAAGTAGGGTATGTGTTTATGAGTTTTAAAGATGGAGGGGCATTAATAGACTGCAAACTCAGTGAGTCAACAGTGTGATATGGCAGAAACAAAAGAACCTGAAAAGCTAATGGCGGTACAGACTGCATTTGTTGAGAGGCACACATTTTGCCCTGGTTGGATCACATCTGGAGTTCATTTTGGGAAAGAAAAGCTTAAGCATACCCATTAGAGGTTGATGGTAATGGTGAAAAGATTGGAGAGTATGATGATCAGTAAAAGGAAGTAGGCATATTTAACCTGGACAAAAGACTTTTGTGGGACATAATAACTTTTCTATTATCTGAAGGGCTGTTAAGAGAGACAGACTTGTTCTGCATGGCTTTAGAAAGCAAAACTGCAATGGATGAAAGCTAAAAAGAGACAGACTTAGGCTTGATATAAGAAAAATTTTCTCAAAAGCAAGAGCCACACAAATATGGATTGGGCTGCCTTGGAAAGCAGTGTTTTCTCCTTCATTAGAAATTTTCAGTCGGAGTCTAGGTGATCATTTATGTGTTTTGTAGAAGGGATGCTTGCTTGGCTATGGGTTGGACTGGATAGCCTTAGGGGTCTTTTCCAGTTCTTAGGTTTTCTTATTTTGTTTGTTTTACTTAACAAAGAAAGAAGTATTTGGGGCAATGAATTTAAATTGCAGACAGATTCTGATATTCTGTGCGAGGCATAAGCTGGCCAAAGCACAGAACAACACATTCATTACATTTTCAGAGGGTTTTTTTTTTCAGTATGCTTGCTTTCGTGGTAAGATGTACCATCAATTTGAAGACTCACTATCATTACTTTTATTTATTTTTAAAATTTTATTGATTTTTTTTTGCTTTTACATCAACTTCATTTTCTAATATATTCCTCTATCCAGAGTGCCATCCTTTATATTTAAGAACACATAGGAAAAAATGTTTCTGTAAAACTAACCAACACATAAAGCAATTCTGACAACATATGATATGTTGCACCTCTATAGTTTTCTGCCTCTGGAAAGAAGGAAGGGAGGTACATTCTTATATCTGCTTGCCAGAGCCAGTCTTGGTCATTATAATTTCATAGTCTTTAGTTTAATTTTTTTTTGTTCTTCTCATTTCCATTATTACCATTATATTATCTTGGTTCCACTTCACTTTCTTTTTTAAAAAAATTTTTTTTTTAATTTTTAGGCAATTGGGGTGACTAGCCCAGGTGACAGCTAGTAAGTGTCAAGTGTTTGGTCTGAGGCCGGATTTGAACTCAGGTCCTCCTGACTTCAGGGCCAGTGCTCTATCCACTGTGCCACCTAGCTACCCCTCTACTTCACTTTCAACCCATTAATATGATTATCCCTACTTGTTCATATTCTTCATAATTTCTTCTGACGTTATACCAAATACACAACACACACCATTTCATTGGAGTAAATGTTAAACAAATTGTGTTGCATAAATGTAATATATTACAATTCTCTGCTACTACAAAAAAGTGTTGCTATAAATATTTTGGTATAAATGAGAATTTTCCATCTTTGACCTTGGAATAGGTGTTTAGCAGTGATGTTTCTTGGTCAAAGAATGTGGACATTTTAATTAATTTAAAATTTTAATTCCAAATGGTTAGACACCAGTAGTGGTTTCAGTGTACCCATCTTTGCACAATCCATTCAACATTTACCATTCTCACTTTTCTTATTTATGACAGTTTTGTAAGTCTGAGGTAAAACCTCAGTGTTTTGATTTGTAATTCTCTTTTTATTAGTGAATGAATAAATGATGAAATATTAAGTGCTGGGTAGACAAACATAAGGAAGCAAGAAAATCCCTTCCCTTAAGGAACATATTACATTCTAATGAAGGAAGACAATACATAAAGGGCAACTAGACAGTGGGTACTGGGCAGAGGCA